CCTCCTCCTCCTCCTCCTCCTCCTCCTCCTCCTCCTCCTCCTCCTCCTCCTCCTCCTCCTCCTCCTCCTCCTCCTCCTCCTCCTCCTCCTCCTCCTCCTCCTCCTCCTCCTCCTCCTCCTCCTCCTCCTCCTCCTCCTCCTCCTCCTCCTCCTCCTCCTCCTCCTCCTCCTCCTCCTCCTCCTCCTCCTCCTCCTCCTCCTCCTCCTCCTCCTCCTCCTCCTCCTCCTCCTCCTCCTCCTCCTCCTCCTCCTCCTCCTCCTCCTCCTCCTCCTCCTCCTCCTCCTCCTCCTCCTCCTCCTCCTCCTCCTCCTCCTCCTCCTCCTCCTCCTCCTCCTCCTCCTCCTCCTCCTCCTCCTCCTCCTCCTCCTCCTCCTCCTCCCCCTCCCCTCCTTGTTTTTCTTTTTTTTTTCTTTACACTTCTCTCCTCTCTGTTTAGAAAATGTGCTTAATATAGGTCTGTTTTGTCTTTGTTATGTTGTATGTGATACTTGTATGAATTTCAGAAAATATACATTTTCTGCAATATGAATGTCATGAAGAAGGTGTACTATATACTCTTCCAATCTAGAACAGATAACTAGTTAATTTTCATTGATTTAATGACTATGACCAATTACTGAGTCCTTGTAATTTGTATGTTATTTGTTTACGGAGTCACTAAGATATTTATGCCCTCTGTTTATAGTAGGTCTCTAGATTTACCAGTGATTTAACTGTTCTTGTTCTTGAAAATCCTCATTTCTATTTATATATTGTACATCATAATTTTTCTCTTATTTCTAAATCTGCATTCTCTTTAACCAGAATTGAAGGTTCATTATGATTTATCATCACCTTTCAGTATGATAAGTCTGTTGATTAAATTTTTTTCTCAACAGTTGCCAACCAGCAATGTGTCAGTGGGTGGTGTATCAGCTGCCATTGCCCTGATTGAAGGCTCCACCACTTCCTGCCTGGCTGACTCAACTCTGGCACATTCAGTGCCATCACTCCAGCCATGGGCAGGTCGTCACAAATTCGGCATCTCCCTCCCAACTGGCAACAAAGATCGCAACAAGGTGTGCTGAGTTATCTTTTATGGGGCCTTTGTTCTGTATTGTCACTATGTAAGTGCAGTTCATTCTTGTGTTTAATATTGTCTGAACCTGTGCTTTATTTTTTGTATGGGAACTTGTTCAAAATAAGAACAGATTATAATATACTATGAACTGGTACTTTGGTTTTTAATCATAGTAGTTTGTATATTTATTACTTCAAGTTTGCATATTTTCATTATGCTGTTTTACGTGATATATGAGATTCTTAATGCAGCGTGAAACTAACACACTTTTCTACCACAGTGGTGCTACAGTCAGGATCTGGGCAAGCTCTACCTGTGCCCAAATGTTGCTGTACCAGTGAATGTTACGTTGGACGACTGGGTGAATGCCAACATCACCATGACACCAGTGTTCAAACAGAGCTGCCACCGCACAGACCCAGTGAACAGGTGCTACAACTGTAAGAGTATTCAAAGTAAGTGTCTAAATGTCCTTTCCTGTTTTCCTTTCATTTTGGTAATTGTTGGTTTTATTGGGACCAGTCATTCCTGTATTGAAAATGTATTAGAGGTATGCATTTTTTTGATTGATTGATTTTTTAAGACAAAATAAGTAATTTTACTCTTTTCCCCTCTCCTAGACTGTGATCCAAACTTGGCTGAGCATTTAGTGCAAGTTGAGGGTGAAGGCTGTGAGTATAGCTACATCAACGAAAGATACATGGTCACAGTGCCCCTCCGCCCTCCACCCCCAGGGGAAGTATCATCTACGCTCCTGATCAAGATTATGTGTCTCACTTCATGTGTTGGAGGTCCCAACAGGCGTCCATTCTGCATTGTTCTCACTCTTAGAAACTCGTGAGTATTGAGTTGTATATAATGGGAATGACTAAGTATCATATTGTATCTTCTTACCAATTATTGGTCTAATTTTTTAGTGTTCTGATTCTTGTTTTGTGGTTTAGAAATGCAGTGGTTTAATGGCAAGGCATGACTGATACTATTGCTCACCTTATAAACAAAATGATTTGCCTTGGGAAATGTCAAGCTTTGATTGGTGACATTAAGTACCCTAAGGTTGAAGTATTGAAAACATTGGGTATTTTGACATCCCTCTCTTTACATGTTATCCCCTTTTTGCACTGTCCCTGTTTTCACACTGGCCATTTTTGCATCTACACTGCTTTCATCATAGTCCTTTTTTATTAGGTAAGCAGTGTATTTTCTCTGAATTGGGTATGACACTGACTTCACTCCAGTATGAAGCAGATGTAGAGACTTTTTTTTTTTCTCTTTCTTTCTTTCTTTTTTCCTTTTATTTCAGTGGTAGATTTCTTTTTTAAAAAGTGGTTTGTTTTAGTCCTGTTTGTTCTTCCACAGTGTCACTGGTGAAGAGATTGGTAGGCAGATCCTGGACATTAAGTGCTGCAAGTGTCCATCCCGCGATCTTACTAATGACGAGAAAAGCAGGACTCCGACAGCCCCTGCTGCCCCATCAGCCGATGAGGAAAAACGGACAAAGGTATCGTTGCATCTCGTTACTGATTTTGTGTTGTGAGTCATATTTCATCTGAAATGCATTGTACATGTATGAGAATTTTATATGTATTTAAAGTATTTTATATGATGTATACTTGCCAGAATTTAATGTCAATGAATATAAAAATATATTGTCATCTCTAGGTACGGAAGCTAGCTAGAGAAATTGCCGATGGCCAGAAGCGCAAGAGACCAAAGATCAAACAAGAACCAGGAACAGACTCCCGAATGGTCAATATTGCTGTAAGTATATTTGACATTAATTTGATCTTGAATGGAAATTATGAAATGGTTCAAGAATTTGGCTTGATTACTAATGGATGGCCTTTATACACAAAACTGAAACTGAGCTTGGTCTTGCAGGTCCCAATTGAGTACGAGGCTGAAGTGAAGTCTTACATCAACAAGCTCATTGCTGCTGATCTAATCAAGAAGTGGCAGCCTGACGCACTCTTGTATCCTGAAGAGGAGAGTAACTAAGGTGAGCTACATGTTGCATGGCAGGAGGAGGAATTCCTTGAAGATTTCTTTGGGACAGTGAGTGACTAGGATCTTGGAATCTCAATAGTATTAAGATATTCATATTTTAATCTAGGGATTATATCCTCATATTCATATTCAGATACTTTAACTTTTAAAGGATTTGCTGACATGGATAGCATATCCGTGATACATCCATCATCATCTCTGTTGACTCCAATTCAGTTCACTCAAAAAATTAGTTGTCTTTTAGGAATCCAGGTCAAATGTACAATATTAGAGTTAAATACATTGGTTCACATATCCTTTAGGGGTTAAATATGGTGAGGGCTTGATTTATGTTTCCCTGGCATATTCTTTTTATTACTAAAGTTGTATTCATTTTAGCTGTTAGATACTAGTCGATTTACAGTAGTCAAATGAAGACTTTGTAAATTTTAATCATGTTAGAGAAAATTTATCTACCATTTGTGCTGAGTGGATCTGTAAGTTAACACTTTTTTCTTTTTTCTTTCAGGTACAACTGATATTTTACTTTGTTGATATTTTTATCTATAAGTAACTGAAACCTGTCAACACTGGGTGATCTGCGAGGAAGAATTCTACACTGTTACAAATTTACAATTGCTACTGGATTGAATTTTACATTAAGAATTTCACAATTGTTATTCTAGGAAAGTGTTGATAAGACTTTACATATTGCATTTCTTGAAGGAGCTGTTTTTTTCTGTTAGGTAATAATATTTTATATTTAAGGTTTTACATACCAGTGTTTATGATGGAAGAAGTTTAGTTTAGGTATGCATATTTCACTATAAACCATTGTCCATAACATGTACTCAAGTATACTTTGTTTCTCTTAAAAAAAGAGAATTTCATTCTTTTTTTTTTCTCTCTTTTTTTTATTTCTTTCACAAAACATTCCGGTTTATTAGAAATTTGTGATTAAAAACACATAGTATGTAAGTGCATGAGAAAGCGATGTTGATGAGTGTAATTCCAAAGCAAATATGTGTATTGGTGTTTTTGCATCTTAATAGTAATGTTGTCTCATGTAAAAATAAAACTTTGCTTTGGAATACAGTGATTGTTTTATATTAGTCAAATAGAACATTTACTTTACTGATTAGGTCAGAGAAAATATTATATAAAGTAGTTAGGTAGGTAGGTACCAGCAAATACACAATATGTTTTGACTGTCAATTCTTTATTCTTGCTATGATCAGTGTCTGTATATTATTTTGAATAAAGGTTGACAATATAATATCTTTATGTACAGATTTCCTTAAGTCTAGTCAGGTACGCATTTAACATAATTGGAACAGACACTATTTAGTTTTGCTTACAGTGGTGGTGTTTTACAAAGGAATACAGATGGGATTGGGTGTTTATTTTATATATTTTTAAAAATTCCTATTATTAATACTTGTTTATTTTTGTAACTAAGAAGTATTTATGATTACACAGGTATAATTAAAATGAAATTATGGAGGGAGTGGGTGTTAATTGTATAATATTTAAATTCCTATTGTTATTTCTTATTTATTTTGTAACTAGAGCTAATCACAACTGCAGCCGTGTCCTTATATTTCAAAACCAATGGAACCCTCAAACCTCAACTGCTTAAAACTACCCAATTTCTCATTTATTCCACAATATATCTTGTACATACTATTTGGTAAAATACTTCATAACTGTTTGTTAATGAAATGAAAAAAATATAAGGGAAAAAAATCATATTAGTTCTAAAGGAATTATTTGTCCTTCAGCTGAGCAAATATCTTCCAAGTAAATGTAAAGATGCTGTCCCGAAATCAGTCAAGCCAATGTAAAGAGAACCAACTATTTTTTATGAAATATTCCTCACTTTATTGTCACATCTGTACATTAATTGGGGGGGGGAGTATGTAAGTGCATGAGGGAAGCAGATGTTGATGGAGGTAATTCCAAAGCAAATATGTGTATTGGTGTTTTTGCATCTTAATAGTAATGTTGTCTCATGTAAAAATAAAACTTTGCTTTGGAATACAGTGATTGTTTTATATTAGTCAAATAGAACATTTACTTCACTGATTAGGTCAGAGAAAATATTATATAAAGTAGTTAGGTAGGTAGGTACCAGCAAATACCAATATGTTTTGACTGTCAATTCTTTATTCTTGCTATGATCAGTGTCTGTATATTATTTTGAATAAAGGTTGACAATATAATATCTTTATGTACAGATTTCCTTAAGTCTAGTCAGGTACGCATTTAACATAATTGGAACAGACACTATTTAGTTTGCTTACAGTGGTGGTGTTTTACAAAGGAATACAGATGGGATTGGGTGTTTATTTTATATATTTTTAAAAATTCCTATTATTAATACTTGTTTATTTTTGTAACTAAGAAGTATTTATGATTACACAGGTATAATTAAAATGATCAAAATTATGGAGGGGAGTGGGTGTTAATTGTATAATATTTAAATTCCTATTGTTATTTCTTATTTATTTTGTAACTAGAGCTAATCAAAACTGCAGCCGTGTCCTTATATTTCAAAACCAATGGAACCCTCAAACCTCAACTGCGTAAAACTACCCAATTTCTCATTTATTCCACAATATATCTTGTACATACTATTTGGTAAAATAGTTCATAACTGTTTGTTAATGAAATGAAAAAAATATAAGGGAAAAAAATCATATTAGTTCTAAAGGAATTATTTGTCCTTCAGCTGAGCAAATATCTTCCAAGTAAATGTAAAGATGCTGTCCCGAAATCAGTCAAGCCAATGTAAAGAGAACCAACTATTTTTTATGAAATATTCCTCACTTTATTGTCACATCTGTACATTAATTGGGGGGGGGGGGAAGAAACTTTTTTTTTTTTTTTTTTTTTTTTTTTATGGACAACCAATTCACTTTTTACATAGTATGAAAGCAAAGATATGGTCTGCTTTTCAATGGCAATAAATATTTCCTATTGGGAACTGATATTTTTAGCAAGTTAATGAAGCAATGACACTCATCAGTATTCTGTGTACTCTGTGTTCTTTTAACATTATTCTGGGACTATTCCTGCTAAGCTTTCAGTCTATGAATGGTGTCCTGCTAACTATATACATGATTATTGATGATTCCAATAGGAACTTTGGCTCAAAGTTCTATGGGCTACAGTGGTTACAGTATTTAGCCTTTATATATTGGGTTAAAAAAATATATTTAAAGGAATTTCATAAAGAAATATTTGATATTTAGGCAACCCATCTTTCTAATATGCATGATGACAGCATCTTTAATACAAAATCACAGACCTCGAGTTTGGCTTTATTCTAAATGTGGGGGGAACTTCTTGAGATCTAAAATGACTAAAAAAAAAAGTTTGAAACTGGCAGGCTTTCTGTAAATACCTATCAATGGTGGATCGAAAGAAGACCAATTTGGAAAAAAAATATAAATTGCTAAAAATGAGATAAGGGAGGGGTTACTCTACACTTTTCATTGACTGGAAAGTAAAGAAAATTTCTTCAAGTTACTAAAACTGTTAATATGCCTTTACTGCAGAAATGGTGGTGTTAACACTCCTATCCAACACAATGGGTCTTGACTTGCATCCCAAATAATTACAGTTCTATATGATATACAAAAGCATATTACTTTTTATATAAGAAAAAAAAAAAATCAAATACAGTACAGTATTTATGAAGCTTAAAGTTCAAAGATGAATGAATAAGCACTTTTTCTATTTACCACAAAAAAATACAGTGAGAAATTCCTGATTATACTGTAAATAGATAAATAGCATGAGATCAGTAGCAAACTATACCTGTATATCTCCAAGGAACAAATGTCAGAATATGGGATAGAGAGAGGAGGGGGGGGGGTGTCAAAGAGACGGAAAAGGAGAAAGAGAGGGTAGAGGGAGAAGGAAGAAGGGATAAAAGGAGAAAGACAGGGAGAAGGAAGAGGGTATAAAAGGAGAAAGACAGGGAAGAGTGAGAAGGAAGAAAGGATAAAAAGTGAGGGATAAGAGATAAAAATAAAAAAAATGGGGAGTAGGGAGATAATATAGGAAGAAGGGAAAGAAAAATGGAGAAAAAAAGAAAAACAGAGAGAGAGAGAGAGAGAAACAGAGGATGAAGGAACAGAGAAAGGAGAGGAGAAAGAAATAAGGGAGAGAACAAGAGAAAGTAGGCGAGAGACAGGGAGGAAGGAGAAGAGAAAAAAAATAAGGAGAGAGGGAGGGGAGGGGAGGGGAGAGGAGAGAGAAAAAGAAAGAAAGAAAGAAAGAGAAAGGGAGAGTGAGAGAGCAAGCCATTCTGTCAGTTTAAACTCCCTTTTCACTATAAATAGACAAGCTCTACTCTAAAATGAATCTTTTACCTCAGACTATACACAATCTAAATTCATCCTTTTCTAAAGCTCTTATGCATCACATCCTCAAAACAGAAATCTGTATGACACATGAACAGAATGTATGACTCAGATCTAATTCTTGAGAAATTTAATCCCATCCATTTCACTTTCTCTCAAATTCCACAGGCAAAACAACACACTAGACTCCTCTGATAACAGCAAATATGGCTCATGTCACAAAGAAATCAGTCAATCAATTTCCTACATTGATCTTCAGAAAACATTCAGTACCATCTCATTCAAGTATCAAGTATCAGCCAAGAAACAACTATAGTGGTAACAGGTGATATAAGGCCACTATAAGAATACATAACATCTAGGCCAACACTACTGTACTGAATTATGCACACCTCACTCCCCCCAAACTTAAAATGCTTGGGAGAAAAATACAAAATGCTGCTCGGGAAATCTCATCCACATCCAAAATGAACTATGTCCCACGGGGAAAACTTGTGACTTGTGACGAAAAAACGCATAACAAGCTATATGGTATGGAGGAAAATATCTAATTCGCTTCAGTGCAAATGTAGATACTTATAACAAACTTTTCATAAAGGTTACAGACTGATACAATAAGGAATTAATGGGTTTAGTGTACAAAAAATTATTTATTGGTTAAAAAAGGAAGATATGCGTGAAGACTACATACTATAATGCTCCACTCCCATTCCAAAAAATAAGTTCAAAGGAGATGACTGAGAGATCCTGTCATTTTCTTGCTACTTTGAGCACCTAGAGGATTTCACATACACAGTACTCTAATCATTAAAAACATTAACATCTATATCTTTATTATATACAGTGGGTCAAAACAAGACAAACAGCACACTTAAATTGTTTAAAAAAATCAGGAATTACGAATCTTATCACTAATGACTCCATTTTACGACATTTTACAAAAGCATTCACATCCTGTGAAAGAAAACTCATCACATAAAAGTAACAACTCTCTGAAGTGAGATGATGTCATGTCTTTCAAACAGAAGTTACTCTCCACTGCAACAGATAATAACTGCTCAATGCTTTCAGCTTTCAAAATGCAAGTATATACCTGTTCTTCACCTAATACTGACATCTCTATCTACTTTTATAACAATCGTGTGATATAAAGATTATAAAGGAGTATTACTTACGACTCTGTCTAGAATGCATACTTCCATCATTATTTGCTTTAGTTTTGGAAAGATTCAAATATAAATATACTACTGATACAATATATATCTGCATGACCCATAAACATAAACAAAAATGTACAGCCCTGTAATCATAACAAATGAAAATGTAAACCAGATTACAACTCTGCTTTCATGCAGTATAAAGCAACCACTGGAAAGAATAATCATTGAAAATCATAAATGTAACAACATATAAACTGATCTAATGAAACTAAATAATCAAGAAAAATCTCTTCATGTTTTCTCTTACAGTAATGTGTAAAACCACTTAACACTGAAACTAAACTTTATAACCGCAAGACATGGCTATTTTTAAACATATTCTGCACACTGTAATTAAGTAAGAAGGGGAGACATGGAAAAGCAAATGAAGCAACAGTCATATCTCGTCCAAGAGAGAGTATGTAAGCTGTCAAATATGGTACTTTTTGTCTTTTGTGGAAGACCTAGAGAGTGGATAGCTTCTCAAGGTTAGAAATGCCTGTTCTTGCCAACTCATTACAGTGGTTAATCATTCATATCAAAGTAAAAAATATCTACCACATGCATGGTTGCTTATATAAACTCATGTTTTTAGGAAGTTACTCAGTTTGTGGGTATCAAGATGTGTAAAACAGAAACCAGAAACAACAAACTAAAATCAAATAAAAAAAATATATATAATAATAAAGATAAAGAAAAAATTCTAGCCATTCATTCAAACAGAGGAATACAGTTTTCTCTCTTCTTCTTCTCTAGACAATTATTTTACATATCTACACAATCATGAAACTATACAAAAATGTACCTCATGCAATGATGTGCTTACATACCATGTGTATTTTTCGGCGGCACACAGGACATCGCCCACCACTATCATGTAAGCGTCTGGCACACTGGTAGCAGGTGGCTTGGTGCGACAGTCTACCATGAATAATTGATGCATTTTTGGGACGTAAACAACAAATGGAGCACAAGAGGGACAGCCCTGATATGGTTTCTGGTGAACATCTGCCAGACAAGCTAGAAGAGGTACTGGTTCCAAGGGCTTCCATGCATGTTTCTTGTACTGGCTGGGACCACTGGAACAATTTACCATCTGACCTGAGCCAATCCTTCCCAGAATTCGACTGCAGGAACTGTAAAAAGCACTTCTTTCCTGCACTCGACTGCAAGAACTTGATGAATTCTTCAGACCGAGCATCGGATTCATCATTCTGGCTGTCCTCTTTTCCTGGCCAGTCGGAAGATTTTGAGGCTTTGGAAGGAGGCATTTCCACTTCCAGGGAAAGGGATGACCTCCTCTTCCTCCTGACCTTGCCGTCCCCACTGTCACAACTGCTGGGGAGAGACAACTGCCGAGATAGAGGGGACCGACCCTCCGGCTTGACAAACTCAGAGGACCCCAGCTCTGTTTTCGCATTATTTGCAGCTGCAGAATCGTTACTGAAATCATTCAGACTTTCTTGGGACATGAATATCCCTGAGTCCTGGGAGCCATAGCGATCCAGTGAACCCGTGGACGGCGCCTCCAGCGTGCTAGATATTAGGAGCACCTCCTTTTTGTGGGAGGGGCCTGCTGTATCCCCTGGCAGGCTGGACTTTTCTGCAGATGGTTCCTGCTTCTTTTTCTGCTCCTCAGTCTGCTCTTTCAATTTCTTAGCCTTCTTTTTGGGCCTCGGTTTCCTTCTCTTTCTCTTCTTGGATCGTTCTGGGAGCCAGTCCTTTCTTAGCTGTGTGTAACAATTAATACTGGATTAATGCCCATAGGGCTCTGTGAACAGTAAAATGTTGTTAACTAACAGATAATAATAATAATAGCAAGATTACTCTTAATACTGTTATGAAATGTTTGCATATTTCTTCTTTTCAAAAATTGTGATTATCCTTTCTCAACAAAATATTACAATCCTTTGATATCACACAAAGATTTAGAGATAACCTTAATTATACTGTAAACAGCCTCTTTTCAGCATTAACTTGTTGTTGCCATTTTTCATGAAGCTTTTCTTTCACATTATTACAAGACATTTCAATCATTAAACTAGAATTTCATATATATGTATACACACATATATATGTGTGTATAAAATGCAATAATTCATTATGTATAAAAAAAAAAAAAAAAAAAAAAAAAAATATTAATATATATATATATATATATATATATATATATATATATATATATATATATATAAATACTTATATATATTTATATATATATATATAAACATGACATAATACTTCATCCATCCACACACAAAAGTGCATGCACACATGCACACACACATGCGCACACACACGCACACAAAGACACACACACACACACACACATATGCACAAAGACACACACACACACACGCACAAAGACACACACACACACACACACGCACAAAGACACACACACACACACGCACAAAGACACACACACACACACGCACAAAGACACACACACACACACGCACAAAGACACACACACACACACGCACAAAGACACACACACACACACGCACAAAGACACACACACACACACGCACAAAGACACACACACACACACGCACAAAGACACACACACACACACACGCACAAAGACACACACACACACACACACACACACACACGCACAAAGACACACACACACACACGCACAAAGACACACACACACACACACACACGCACAAAGACACACACACACACACACACACACACGCACAAAGACACACACACACACACGCACAAAGACACACACACACACACACACACACACACGCACAAAGACACACACACACACACACACACACGCACAAACATATGCACAAAGACACACACACACGCACAAAGACACACACACACGCACAAAGACACACACACAAACAAACACACACACTTCCCTCGACTCACCCCCAATGCACCCAAAAGACCGGTCCCTACCTGCCAGCATTTGCCGCAGTAGCGCACAAAGGGTTTGTTGCGCAGGCCGCAGCTGAGGCAGTTCCACCTCTCTGCCACGAGCTCTGGATCCGAGTCCGTAGACTGGCTCTCGGTCTGCGAGTCGTCCGCCCAGAAGCCCTGCTCGGAGTCGTCCTGGCAGAGAGTGTGGATAGCAAACACGGCCACCTCTACATCCTTGAAATGAAAGTTGACCTTAGTATCCGATCTCAATTTGATTAAAGCACAAGGAGCTGTACTTTAGAGAGAGAGAGAGAGAGAGGGGCTAATGAAAAAAAGAACGAAAGAAAATAAAAGAAAAAATAAATAAATAAAGAAAGAAAGAAAAATGCTATTATGGTGAAATTGTGGCATTCTGCCTGCCTTTACTTTCTAATTGAAACCTGTCATTAAAATTACCACTCTTTTTCAGAACAAAAGATTACTGTCTACACTAATATTTTGTGATAGGTAGTCCTGTGAAATTATCAAGGTTTGCTCTGATATTTTAACTTCCTTTTATAATATATCACAACTCACTATAAAAAAGGCATCTCAATTCGCAACAACAAAACAGTAAAAACTAAAAATTAATGTTGAAAGGAATTCAGTTTAGTTAAAATAGGTAAAAATAAATATGTAGATAATATATAAGTGTAACTTTCAAGGGCAGAAGAGAGAGGAGATATGAGTTATAAAGAGATAGAGAGAAAAAGAAAGATAATGGTAAAAGAAAATAAAATAAAAATAAATGCAATACCTCTTAAAAAATGTGAAGACAACTTAAAGATGCTGTAACCTTACATTAATGAATTATTCTTTCTGCTTTTTAAGTCTCTACAAAATGTATCTCCATTCAACCTTCTAAATACATCAAACTTAAAATGAGTAGTAATAGCTACTTCAGCTTTAAAATATGGAACAAATTCAGAATGTATGACTCAGATCTAATTCTTGAGAAATTTAATCCCATCCATTTCACTTTCTCTCGAATTCATTCACACTCAAAATATTTCCTGTTCCCATACACCCTATTTCAAACCAATCCCTCTAATTCTATCATGGTCACAAGAGATGGATACATTACAAACCTCAATATCAGAATCTCCCTCGTCGGACTGTTTCTGGTCTTGCTCGTCAAAGGAGGCAATTTCATACTCGTCGATGTAGCAGTCTGTTTCCGAGCTGCTCTCCTCAAACTCTGTGTTCCGGCAGTATGCTAGAAAAAGAGCAAATGAATCTAAGTGTCAGCTATTTGTTCTATATCACTCATCATTGTTATACATGAGTTTTATTTTACTTATGCCTTCCAAAGTAAGTTCAAAATCTTTTTTCTCTCTCTCTAATTGAAAAATTATGCATACTACAACTAAAACTGCAAACAGCAGGGAAAATCTCCCATGCTTCTAATTTTTCACAAAACCACTACTGTATAGCTCTGCATGGCATGGTTAAAAGCCATCATTATTGGGTTAAAATTCACTCAAACAAAAATCAAATAATGCCTACAAGCTGAAGATGTTAAAACAAGAACAACAACAACAATGCTATTACTTCACCACCCTCAAACCTACCAGTTTCATATCCTTGACAACTATAATCCGTCTCTGATTCTGAATTTGTGTCAGGAACTTCCGGGATACAGAACTTGTACAGACCAGCAAAACTCTTGGATCTTCTGTTGCCTGAAATGGTTCTCTGACTACTTCTGGATGATCCAGGAAGTGTTTGGGGTTCAGCACTTGCCTCACCATTCTGGGTATTCACTGTATTGACAGGGGCTTCTGAAACACCTGTCTCTGTTTTGTCATTGGTTGTATCTACATTATTATTTACATTTGCTGTATTTTGTGTCCTTACACTATTACTATTGATATTAGTTGATGGATCTAAAGATCCATTTGATGCCTGTTCCTGATTTACAGGCTGTGTCTGGAACCTTGATTCCACAGGAATCAGATTCTTAGCTACCAGAGTCCTGAAATAACAAAAAAGTAGTATTACAATAAGAAAATTCAGGCTTACAAAAAACATATTCTCAAACTCTTTCAGTCTTTTGTCCATAGAAGTTCAGTGTATAAAAACAACAACAGGAAGAAAGATCACTTACCTTACATCATTAAAGTGGAATCGATTTACTCCAAAAGCTTTCCCAAGGGAATCACCACCACAATTAACATAGTGAATATCTTGTGGGTCGAATAAGCTGCGATTACTATAAAGATAAGTCTTCAGCAACTGCAGAACCTGCAAAGCACAGCCATTAAATCAGGGAAAAACAAAAACCTGAACTAAATCATCACTGTGTGGCAAATATCTGAACATTATATAATATATAAATAACCAGTATATATCATGAGTAAGTCAAGGTAAATTTTCTTGAGAATGATGTTGTTAATCAAAACTACTAATTCAGGCCTGCAATATTACAAGAAAACTAACATTCTCATGTAGTATCTTGCTGTGGCTATCACTATTTTGGAAGTTCCTCTACCGGTTGGCACAAAATTTTCCTAACTACAAGACTGCAAATATGGTTGCAAGTTATCAAAATTGGTGTTGGTTTTTTTGAATCCACACAACACTTATGGCTATACCCCTCCAGCTATTCACTCAGTCAGCCAAAAAAGAACTTCACTTTTCAGCTACATTAATTGGAAACATTACTATTATCACACTGTATAATATTAAAGGGCAATTTTTCTGTAGCACTGAGTTACTTCTAGGCAAAACCTTTATTTGTAAATTCTGATTCGGAGTAAGCAGTACAAGACCAATATTTCCACTTTCCATGAATGGTTTTCTTTATAGTGTTTTTTCTCTTTCATCTTTTTACATCTCACCAAATAATGATGATGACTGTTACTACTACTACTACTACTACTAATGACAATAACAATAATAATGATGATGATACACAATAACAATAATAATAAAAAAAATCAATAACACCAATAGTAGCAATGGTAATAAAAACTTTGATAATACTGCTGATAATAAATCACTACTTATAAATAAGAGCAAATGAATTAATGCTGGAAATGATATGGAGCATAGAGCATCCTTCATCTGTACCAAAATTTCATACAACTCTGATACAATAAAGCTTTAGGTCAGGGGTAATCAAAATAAAAATGTATACACTAGAATTACCTCTTTAAACTGGTATGGTTTATGCACTGCTCCAACAGACGCAAAGGCATCTCTGAGCTGAGGTGTGATATAATACATTTTACAGCCACCACCTGCTGCACTGGGGGGCTGAGAACCTCCAGTTTCAGCACTGGTTGGGGTGCTGGAAGTGCTTGAGTGTTCCGTTCCATTTTCTTGTTTTGCAGGATCTTCTCGGTCACCAGCTCCGGCACTTCTGCTGGAAACATTTGTGACCACCGAGGAGAGGCTCGTTGCCTCAGGCAAGTCAGGGGGCATCTCTGGAGCCTTACATTGTAGCCTGAAAAGGTAATCGGGTATCTATAGGCAGTCCTGTCATTATGTCAACAGCCTTAAGTCATTCAATTTTTCTCTTTTGAGAAAAAATAGTTTCTAATGACATTCAACAGGCAACAATCCTTACATCTTTACACATCTACATTTATACCTTTGAGAAGTATTCATAGCATAATAATATTATCAAAAGTCATTCAACCAGACTTGGAAACTCATAAATTGTATATTTCATGTAGTAAGAATAAAAGGTATATGTTTTCTACATGACATTAAAGTTTATTAATTATAGATATGATTTAGCTAAGAATATAATCTTCTCTCATCTATCACCACCTCTTATCCTACTCTATAAAATGCAATATTTTCCAGGAAGAATTCTTATAACAATTATTCAGTATCCAACAGACTGAGATGAATTACAGGACTGAAAGGAGGATGCCCCTGAGATAGAGAGAAACAGTGCTATTAACTAGTTATAGAAACAAGATGCAGAAAGCGAAGGTAAGCCCATAACCACTCATCAAAGACACACTTACAGGACTGGAGCTTGCCATGGTGTTTGTATTTGGCACTCCAACGAAAGGACAACAAAACTCCACCATGTATATTCTGGCAAGAAAGAGTTTTTAAGACCGGACTAGTCAAATAGGAACAACAGTCCATATTACATCATGCTGAATATGTGTGGTGATTTGTTACCCTTTGCTGGAATGCTGAGATCTTTTGGATAATAGTAGTTATTATGTTACAGCAATATGGTTGTTATCATGCTTGATACAAAGTTTGTTGTATTATTCAATAAAAAATAAGACATTCCAGGCTGCATACTTGTCACAGATGGATGCTTAGTAAATGAATTGGGAGAACATAAACAAGACAGGGTAAACACACTTTTAATGTAGTCAGTGCTTCTAATTATTCTATGTTCCAAGTAAATATGCTAGTTTAAACCTATCATGTGTTTAGTGGACAAAAGAAAACTGCAACTCATGTAATTCCTGAATCTAGAATAGCATATGCTTAAAACTAAATTCTGAGACTGTCATGGCCTTCATGCCTTCAGCACTCAGGCAAAGGTTAGCAAACTTCATCTAAAAATAATCTTTAAAAATTGAACTTGAAATAGTTCCTTGTCTAATAGCAAATCACCTGGGTTATGTACATGGAGGTATTCTGCCCTTTTGCTGAAGTACTGAAATCATAGGTCATGGTGAGGACTGGATACACCACAAGTGTAACTTTTAAAGTGACTTTTGGCAAATGATCTTTACAGTTAATAATGTTATTTATTCTATAGGATGCTCATCTTTGTTCTTTTCTGTCTCTGCATGGTTCTTATTTTAACATTTATCAGCCTGGGCACTATAGACAGCACTACATTTAAACAAGGCCAATTTCTCCTAAACATAAGACATATTTGTGTACATTTTTTTTGCATATATCTTGTCACTTATCAATGACAAATAGTAGGGGGCAGATGGAAAGGTGCACCTGTCAACTTCACATACTTTACTCCGAATGACTTCTTCCGGCCACAAAAGTGACATAATTAAAGAAAAGAATAGCCAACCTAGAGAAGAGGATATGCAGTATCTACATGTCACAAAGTAGCAGAAGAAACATAAACCTTAGAAAACCTTGCTTTTTGCTGTTCTGTCCAATAAATGCAGTGTTTCCTTTGTACCATATACATGCATGATAATAAAAGCATAACAAGTTATATCCTTTTGGTATCTACGGTAAACCAGAGGTAGATCTTTACCTATAAATATCATCAATAATATGCAATTCTTATAGTGTAAAATCACAGACATGCCTGTCACTTGCTTTATGCTGCCAAGACATGCACCGCTAA